TTAAAACGGTTAATTTCACGCCAGGGTAAGCCAATAAAGGTTAAGATAGATAACTCAAAAAGTTTTATAGACACTAAAAAAATTACTTTGTTTCATTTCTCGAAAACAACACTCATGATTCAAGTAACTTCGTTACAAATAATAATTTTATATTTGGTTTTACACTGCTATGAATATCCATTTTGGTGGTTTATAGGAAGCTAATGGTTAAATCCAGTAAACACAGTCTTTTTTCATAGAATAAAGTGACAAACGAGCACAAAGTCCACCTGAGGGTAAGTGGATGCTATGGCCCATTGACATCTTCATTTATCCTCAAGTAAGTACCAAAATGCAGATGCGTTATCACCGCTGAGGACTAAGATGCAATGCCTTGTTTCAAGTAAAAAGCGTTTCCCGTTTTCTACACTCGCCATATAAAACACAGCAGTATTGAGCTGCTATTTTACGCTGTTATTCTGTGAGAGCGTGATCCTTCACCGGCAGAGCCGACCGGTTCATGCTACAACCATAATATAGCTACAGCATGGCTTTATCACGTCCAAAATGTGTAGTAGGGTGTGCTTATCCCACATATGAGGTATTCAGCACGGCTTTAGCTCCAAATTGAAGTCATCCTGAACTCTGCACTTTAACAGCTCTGTCAACAGATCCTCTCGACATGCAACCTCTCATTCACGCTCATTTCCTCATCACCTGACCTCGAGTTCCCGTCTGCTTCGTTATGACGAGATAGAACAGATAAGTCAGAACTTTTGAAAGAGCTGACACAAGAGTACGAGTCCTAGCTGTAAATGCGAACAAAAGTTCTTTAAAATGGAAACTAGTAAGTACCTATGGTTTCATTCGTATTTATCTTGTGACTAATGGAGTTTAAAGAGTTGCTAATCTTTGTACGTTATCGAGCATCACACTCAGAGCATTCACAATAATTTCATTTAAACCAGTAAAAGCTGCATCATTCAGAAGACATCGTGTAAATATGATAATCTCGTTAGAACCTGCTTCCTCCAAGGCTGAGCTCACGTTACAGCGCCATCTATGCCCAAAAAAATGCACTCACACCGAATTGACGTTGCTTCATATTATTACCAGCATATCTTTAGCCAACCACTGCATCATTCTCTTCACACTTCCTTTCATAACTTTATATTTTTGATAGGTCAAAAACATCGATATAAATAACAAGTTATGGTCGTTCAAACAAAAATTTTTCATTACTTTATATTTTTGATAGGTTAAAAACATCGATATAAATAACAGTATATGGTCGTGCGAACAAAAATTTTTCACGGTTTAAGCATAGAATAAATCAGCGCCATCTCTTAAATACTCATGAACTACTACGGAACCGGTGTTTCCACTTATGATTTTGGTTTTACCCTGGAACCTGTAGAAACACACCCTTAACTATCGTAAAAAATCTAAATAGCCTTATTTATTGCACCTTATTTTTAATATTTTAAAGAACAACATCGTTGCAAGTTTTGAATACCATTTCACGATTAAAATTCTTGAGTTTTGTGATGAAGTTTTCAAATTATAATAACACTTAGTCTCATGGGAATAATGAATATGTAATTAAGTAAAATATTATACCATTATTCCGATATACAGAATGAAAGACTTTTTCACTCTACATTTTTCTGGCTCTTTTGACCCTTAGATAAATCTTTAAAAAAATTACATTAGGTGGGTATAAAAGACAGGGTCACCTGCAATTCGATTTCACCCAAATTTAGCCAAAACCCTGTCAACTTGAAGAAACGCATAAAGCCCTACCTATATTAGTAGATAAAATAGCGCAAAATATCTAAAAGGGAAGCACTGAACAGACGCACGGTAGGCATATGAGCTCACGTTGGTGCTCCATAAACATTTTGCGCATCAATGAGTCGGTGCCATTTTGTTTGTTCAAGGACCCGGTCCATACGTAGTAGCATAATAAGTCTATGGTTAAGAATATAATATTATTTTATTAATTCACCACGCCGTAATCACCAAACACCATAGTCTATAGTCACATTGTAAACGCAATTTTAAAGCAAAAAAACGTATTATAGCACAAACATAATATAGTCCTCTCGTCTCGGTAGAGAGTTATAAGTTATAACAGAACACTAGTTATAGTTTATAACTGGTGTTCTGTGATTCTATAAATTATAATTACCGATGTGTTACGATAAGATTAAATTAATTAATTGAAAACATTTATGGCATATTGTGCGCCATTTTTTTATAGGATAGGGTGACAAACTAGCACACACTCCACCTGATGGTAAGTGGTTGCTGTGGTCCAAAGACACCTACATCTATCCTCGATTACGAATCAAAATGCAGATTCGTTGTCACCCGTGGGGACTAAGATGGAATACTTCGTTTCTAGTAAAAAGGGTCTCCGGTTCTCTACACTCACCATACGAAACAGCAGCATTAAGCTACTATTTTCGCTGGTATTCTGTGAGAGCGTAGTCCTTCCCTGGTCGAGCCGATCCATTCCTGCTATAACTACTTACACTAATAATATAACTCCAGCATAGCTCTGCCACATATAAGATTATAAAGTACATGGCGATATCTAGGTACAAGTTGTGTAAAACACAGATTGTCACGATATTCCTGCAGAGCTTATTTTTATTTTATGATGTTACCGAAACGATAAATTTAAGTTTTTATAGGTTAGTAATGATTTAAAAACCGAACATCAACTAAATAAAATACTCGTAATACTTTAGAGATACATTTAATAAGGAGTTATATCGTAGTACTTAACGTTAAACGCATCTAATTTACTCGCGTGATATTATTTTTTTTTAGATAATGATCCAGTTATTGCGATTAATCTATGATAGATTCTATGAGAGATTTTGACAATATTAGTAATAAGTCAAATCTGAAATTAAATATGTATTTAACCGCATTAAACTTTGTTATTTTGCTATAATATATTGTAAGAAATCCATTAAAAGTTTTATTTTAGACTTGGGTGTATATAGATTAAGAATGCAAAGGATCTTAACTTCATAAAAAATTAAAAATAATTATAATTATATTATAATGATTACGAAAGAAATCATGTTATTACTTATTAAAAATATTCCAGAACAACGTGGCACAGCACTAGCTCTGCTTCTAATTTTGGGAAAATCTTCGAGTATTCAACCAACGGCAAGACAAACCCAAAAAAAGGGTTAATTAACTTATTGATAGCTATAGTTGGGGTGTAGGTACATAATTGCGTACATTTGCTACGAAGTGGCAAATTTCGATTAGACTTATTTGGCCTTTATTTTGTATAATATTTTGATAAATATTAGTTATCGATAATATTAATCCTTCAACACTCTAAAGACCTATTTACACTTCGACAAGTACAGTAGCGAGTTTAGTTACAGGGCAATTGACAGTAAACGGTTAAGTGGGCAGTAGCGAATTTCTTCGTGACGAGTTTAGTTAAGGACATTAGTTCATAGAGTTCGTTTGAGTGTGACGTTTCAAGACTACAGAATTTTTTCTGTTTTCATTTAATATGGATCTAGGATTACGTCAAGAATTAAATGATGTATTCAGAGAAATATTACTGGTTGTTGTTAAAGAAGTTTTTAAGAATGTTTATGAGCGCAGCATCTCGAGCATTTAATTTTATAATTTGAACTTCGACTATTATATACATTCGTGTTCTGAATACTCCTGTACGAATTTATACGTGAAATCTTCTGTCCATTTCATTATTTAAACTCAATATAAAATTTATAAATATTGAAGAAACAGTACCGTACCAACTTTGTGGCGAATTTAATTATAAAAGTACAATTATACGTTTTGGCGCGCAAACGTTGCGTCCTTTTAACTTATGCACTGAACTAAACTCGCTCGTTTACACGAGTGGCAAGTTTAGTTGCGGGTGGCGGGAGACGCGCCGGAGGATAACACTTCGCACTTAACTTGACGAAATATAGCCCGGCCAGCTATTCCGTTCAACTTAATTGTTAACTTGCTACTTAACTCACTAATTGCCGTTCAAAAGCGATTTTCTACTTAATTCGCCAGTTTTGCAAGTAATTTTTTAAGTAATTTTTTTTTAAATCAGTATTTTCTTATCGAAATATTACATGTCGATAAAAAAAAGTATAATAGTTTCTATTAGTTTGCGTCCGTGAATTGATTTTACATCTTGGCCCTGCACATTTCACTGTGGTAACTTAAAATTCCAATAAATACCAAATTTTTTAAAAAAAAAAATTCATACCCCTAATACTCTTCGTATTCACTAACGCTCGCTCTATAGCTTGGTTATGCATACTCTAAGGTTCAAGTCCAAACTCACATTTACAGTATTTGTAGGAAGTACCCAGGAATCGGGATAGTAGGAAGTAGGATAGTAAGTAGAATTTTTATTTTTAATGAATTTATGTAGATGAAAGTTAAAATAATTTATCTAATAATAATTGAACTAACTTCAGCCCTTGCGATGCGCTTGATAACTAGAATTTCGTTAACATTACACAAATTAGTATATTATGTACTCGCATTCGAACTAAGTGACTTCTGCAATATAATGTTGCGCGCCATAATTAATGCCTGATACATGGCGTCATTAGTTACTACTAGCACACTCTAGTATCGAATAGCAAAACTAGGAGAGTCGAGATCCTTCTAGATTTCTATGCCAGAATTTTCTACACCGGGACACAGTCGGGACCAGTACGTACTCGAACATTTTAGATATTTCAGTAGAAGACGCCCTATGTAAGGCCGGTATCGACCGCGACTCGAGGCAGTATTGAATTGGAGATTCAAGCGAATACTTCGAAGCAATATAACTGCGAATTAAAGTGATCCGTAGTACAATTGTGTTTTATTATTAGTGTGTTTTAAGTAGTTATTGGTGTTCGGAAATTAAAGTGACAATTTTGGTTGTTCAATCGGCAATTTTTAACTGTCACGAACCCCAAGCTCGTAATAATAACAAAAGTCCCAATATCACACAACATACATACAAAAAGAATCATCTCGGCGCTGGCGGCCCGAAAAATTTATTGGCGGTGGCGGCTCACTAGCGCTGCGCACATCACTGCTCACGAGACCTGCTAATAACGCAAATCGATTACAATTGTCGAACCACAACGTCCTACGTACAGTTGGTCGTCTTTGGTTTCGACTCAAATATTATCCCATTAGTCCTGTTTAAGATTTCCATGAAGTATCGTGCACTAGCCACAGATCACCTGCTCGTTGTAAGCGAATTCTATAGGCTATAGACACTAGACCTTTTTTTCACTTAAGCTTTAGGATACAGATGTGCTGTAACCCATGAGGTAACAAAGAAGCATTGTTCTGCTATTTCACGGTGGTATTCTGTGTGACCGTATAGTATCGCTGTTAAATTATTCACTGCTCCACTCATGGGGGTGCCGTAAGAGGCAACATGGGGAAAAAAACTGGAGATGGACTGCAGCATCTTCCTGATAATAACTCTTAAGTTTAGATAACTGCGGTTTCCAAACCACCTGCACCTGTGGCACCAAAGGAAAATCCCCCCATAGAAATGTTTATGTTCAGCAGTAGACTTAAATAGACTATAAAGGATGAAATGGAATAGATTCTGTGTAAGTGCTTTGTTTGTCCTCTAAGGTTTGAGTCGACCCCATCGTGCTGCAGTTATAATTCATAATAGGTGTACGAGTATGGTATTTACTTTAAACTCATCAAAATGAAGTGCTCCATCTCGAAAGTTACAGGGCAGTGTAAGTTAAGAAGACTACTAGTGCTAAGAATACGATTTTTTGTTTCAATTGCAATTAAAAAATGCTTAGATTTGGTTAGATTTTTCGGTGATTACAATGTTAAAATTACCTGAAGGAGCAGAGGAAACTTCTAAGTATGGAAATCCAGTTCGACTAGCCATAACTATCATTCTAAAATTTTCGTGCACAGGAATAAAACCAGCTGATTTGTTTCCAGAACTATTCATAACTTCCTTTGGAATCATTCTTCTACCATCACTTAGTACCATCTCTCTATTTGCCATTAAAGTGTTTAAACTACTTGTCACTTTTGTTGGCGCTTTGTCCGCTTCATCTACAACTAACACGTAGCCATATTTAACGGCTTTGACAAGTGGTGAATCCTCGTAAATGACGGTTCCATTTTTGAAAGTTGGCTGCACTGTCAAAGCCTGTATCGTTGTATTGCGGTGAAATTGTGTATATTCTGTAGGGCGATTAAAATATTGTAACAATGCATCTGTAATTTTTTTATTTTCAACTCCCCGTTTCTCGACAAGCAGTAAATGATTACCACGTTGAATATCGTGGAGTAACAACTCCAGTACTTTTCTTTGTTGCGGAATGTCACTGAAAAGTATTTCGGACACTTCTTTTAAAATTTCAGTTCTAAACATGTTTGCAGTTGTATTGTTATTTATTGATGTTTCATTTCTGGCACGACTGGTGATTGTGAAATTATTTAATGTAGTTTTTTCTGCCTTTTGTTCCAATAAATTGATCATGGAAACTTGTGGTGACGAGAGTACTTCGCCATACTGAAAATATTTTTTTTTTATAGAATAAGAGTGACAAACGTGTACACAGTTGATGGTAAGTGGATGCTGTGGCCCATAGATATCTACATTTATCCTTTTTCATAATTCAGATGTGTTGTCATCTCTGAGGACTAAGATGAAATGCCTCGTTTCCAGTAAGAAAATGGTCTCCAGATCTCTACACTCACCATACGAAACAGTAGTATTACGCTGTTATTCTGTGAGAGCGTGGTCCTTCCTCGGTGGAGGCGACCCATTCGTGCTTTAATCATAATATGAATGAAGCTTGGATTTACCACGTACAAAAAATGCAAGTCAAGATTTAAATGTATGAAAATAGGTACTGACTCCTTAAAATATACAGAAAATATTGAATGTTTTTAGTTTGGAGCTACAAAATTCTCAAGGTTTAACTAGATTATTCGAGACAATGTTTCGTAGAAAGAAAGGAAAAGGATTTTAGTAAATAGCAGCTTAATACCAGTGTGTAGCTTAATACTCGTATGGTGAGTGTAGAGAACCGGAGACCCTTTTTTACTCGAAACGAGGCATTCCAATTTTTGTTTGGTGACAACGCGTCCGCGTTTTGATTCTTAATCGAGGATAAATGTAGATGTCTATGGGCCACAACATCCACTTACCATCAAGTGGACTGTGTGTTCGGTTATCACCCTTATTATATATATATGTATGAAAAAAAGTATCATAGTTTCGGTAAAACGGAGGTGCCATTGTTTAGGTAAGCGGTACGTTCAGTAATAAGGCTCGCACATTTTCCGCTTTACTTTTTATTAAGGCTAATCCTCAGTAACTGTGTACTGAGTTATTTAAACTGAGTGACCTACTTTGAAACTGGTTTTTGCGTTAACTGTAACTATATTTTATATAATAATAATAATAACTTCGACGTTCGAAAATATAATATCCTAGTTTTTTCTATTATTAAATTTTTGACCTCTGACTTGAAAAGGCTCGGACCGAAATCATAAAATTATTTCACCTCTAGATCATAAACATGACGTTGTTGAAATAAAATTGTCTAGTGCGTTTTATTGTCTTTTATTTATAGAAGAGAGGGCAAACTAATATGCGGTTAACCTTACGGTAAGTGTCGACCACCGCCCATAAACTAGTACAACACCGGGAGAATTGCAGGCGCGTTGCCGGTCTTTTAAAAGGGAGTAAGCTAGTTTCTTGAAGGTCCCTAAGTCGTATAGATCCGGAAAAATCGCAGGTAATAAAGAATTCTACAAAGAAGTTGTGCAAGAAAGAAAACTCCTAGTAAAATGCACAGTAGTGTACCGTCAAACAGCACTCTCCGTGATAAATGCGGTACAAAATGCAAAGAGATGCAACATCTCTTTTCAGCGCCAGTGAATTGAGTAATCGAACCTATCAGAGAGGACTCGGTCGTCAAAGGTTCTCAGAGCTAACACTGGATACCCTGGCCTAGAAATTAGAAAAGTATTCCATGTGAGATCGAACCTGCATTTTGTAAAGTTGTAAGCGGTGTGCTGGCATGAAATAAAATGGCCATGAAATGGGATGGCTGATCCGGTCCTGGAGCCCTCTAGTAAGGTAGTGAGAGAGTTTAGAGAGAGGCAAAACCAGTTTGGACTCCCGTTTCCCGCAGCCGTCATCCGCTCACATAAATTATAAAGGATCGTCCTTCACTGCCCCAAATAGTGCCCGAGGAAGTCTCTAACCGTACCGTCAACCTTGTACAGCTCGAAAACCTCGTCAGCCATGTATGAGGCACTGAGTCGAATGCCTTGCTGTAGTCTATCCAGGTTGCTGAGAAGTTCGGACGGTTGCATTTAACCACCTTGACAATGACCGCGACAGCGAGAAGGAGTGGTTCCTTGGGTCCACGAGCACCGTCTCCACATCCATTTTAGTCCAGGTATTACGACATGGGCATAACATTCGCATACTGGCTTGCCATTTAATTTTATTATTAATATGTTATTGACACCTTTCTTCTCGCTTTACTGCTATGTGTGGGAGTGATTTCGTGAAAAGAGAAGGAACAGGAAAAGGGAAGGACAGGTATTTTATCTCATCTACCACGGGGAGTGCTCTGAGGAATTGTTCGGACTAATTCCAGCCGTACAATTTCACCTTCGCACATCGCGACAAAACTCGCGAAACCATCTATACGATCTGGATGACTGGCGGTCCACCACTGTGCGATTTAAAAGAAGTTTTTATCCTCGCAAAATAAACCTTGTGGAATAAACTACCACCAGAGATTTTTCCAGACCGATACGTCTCAGAGACCTTCAAGAAAAGAGCCTATTACATTTTAAAAGGCCAGGAACGCACCTGCGATTCCCCTGGTGTTGCAGTTGTTCATGGGCGGCTGTAATCACTTACCATCAGGTGAGTCGTAAACCTCGTTTCCTATAAAAAAAGCCTCCCTCCCCCCTCTCATATAAAAAATGTGCTTCATCCCTATCTGTCCACATTAAAAAATATATAATATTACCTTGTGTGTAAAAGTACTTCTTAACTAGTAATTGGTATAAATGTTTTACTACTACCAGTGACTGAATTTGTATTCAGCATTTTTATTTTATTTCCACTCTTTGTCTTTCGTCAGAGTTTATAAGCAGAGCGCAATGCGTGTAGATGAGATTAGCATGGTGTTGAGCATAAACAGATTTTTTAAATGACATAAAAATAGAAGTGCTAAAATTGAAGTAGAAAACTTCTTTTTCATCTTCCTGAATTTCTGTGATTGCTCTAATCACCTTCTGCCGTGTGGATCCTGAGTTAGAATTTTGGTTGGAGGCAGCATTAAAGCTAGAAAGTAATTATTGGTTCTGATCTACTTGTATTGGCAAAGACAATTTCAAAAATATTTTTGAAGATTGAGTTCTATTTCAATCTCCTGTAAACAACCTTTTTACTCACATTATGAATTTATGCCTATGCATATGAATGTCCTAAAAGAAAAAAAGGATTGATTACCTGTGGAGTCGACCATTGCTGTTCACTATCAGATGAAGATTGTTCGGTAAGTGTTAACATTCTACAACAAAAATATTTAATAACACAATGTTTATTTCCATGCTCTAAGCATCACTGAACTCACTCACTCTCTCACTAAATCTGATTTTATCCGCATTACAATCTAAAATAAATAAAATAATTAAATAATATTAAAAATAATTGTGGACGCATCTCAATAATTAAGCAAGGTTTAGACGAAGCCAGCGCTGGCTTGTTATTGGCCTCGTATAAACAGTTTTTCAAGACAAGCCAGCGTTGGTTGCCAGCACTGGCGGGAATAAAGCGCTTGCCTATTTCAAGCCAGAATTGATAATTTGATATAAAAATTTAACTAGTGATATTGTACAAATTCCTATTTTTGATGTATGTAGGTATAGGATAAACATTATTTTTTAGTTAGTTTAGAAAATCATTAATTTAATACAACGATTTACAAGAATAATTTAGGAATGAAATGAATCCATTTGGCCTCATCTAAACAACACGAGCCAGGCCGGCGCTGGCTTGTCTTAGAACTGGCGCCAGCGTTACTGGCTTCGTCTAAACTTTACTTTTTTTTTTAAACAATATTAATAATGCTACAAACATTACTAATATTCCCATTAACCACTCGTGGTAAGCTTAAATTGCTTGTGTTACGAGTGGTTCACGCCAGTAGTCGAATGGTGGATTCGAACCCACGACCTTTTTGAGTTCGCGGTCCGCGCCCTGCCATTAGGCTACTATCGCTTAATTCTTTATAATCTGATATATGAATAAAACTTTAGGAATAACTTTTTTAACTTTATGAATAAAGCTCTCAAAGCACTTCAAAGAAAATGGTAGTCACTTTCATTGCGAAAACCGACCATGTTGCAACGATCGCACTTGATAATCGTAGAACGGTTAATGCAGAGTTTTATACCACAGTTTGTTTATCACAAGTCATCGCCGAACTTCGGAATTCTAACCCAAAGCGATGCATCATCCTACACCACGATAACACAAGCTCACACAGCGCTGGTCTGGTCAAGTCAAGTCAAGGTCAAGTATTTGAAGCAGGAAAACGTAGAAATTCTTGACCATCCTTCATAATATTGTCCCGACCTAAGCCCTAAAGATTTCTTCACATTTCCTAAAATTAAGAAAAACCTTCGTGGTCAAAGGTTCCATTCCAGTGAAGAAGCAGTAGACGCTTTCAAAACAGCCATATTGAACACCCATACTCGTACTTTAGAGTGAAATAATCGAGCGAAAGGAAAATTGTATTGAACTACATGGTGAATACTTTGAAAAACAAAAAAAAGTACTGTAAGGCATTGATATATGAATATAAAAGGGTGTAAGGTCCCCTTTTAATATATCAATGCTGTAAGGTCCTAGTTGTATTTTTTGGTCAAACGACAAAACTTAAAAGGCATGTCTCGTATATATATTTATGGTGTTTTTCGTCAATTCCAAAATTAAGTCAAGATATTGTGCCCTTTGTATAAATAAACATTTAAATATCGGCTGTGAAAGAATACAGCGGCGCAGCGGTGGCCTCATAATACTACACTATGTGAGTCACAGCCCAATTGACCTCAATGCTTTTGTAAACATAGGTGTGTTTTTAAGCATTTATGTTGTTTTGTTATTAACTTCTTTTGTACATTTTGAATGAATCATCAATCATCAATTGAGACGAATTAAAAGCTTTATTATTAAACAATATTTTATTTTAATTATATCAAAGCAATATAATATAAATTATTATATGTAATACTAACCAATAATTATAATAAATACACAATACTTACATATTATTTGATGTAAGCAAATTTTAATATAATACAATAATAAATATTATTTATTAACAAGATGCTAATTAGTAATTATTTCCTTACACGTTTCATAAATAAATATTAATAAACGGCATCTCTAATGTAAAGCAGCAGAAAGTTCTACAACTTAACCGTATGGAGAGAAAAGGAATTGGATTAAAAACCAAAATTGTAGACAGGAAATTTAAGCACTGTTTCGACAAGGGATTTGCATGGTTCATCCGAATGATGGGCGAAGGAAAATGAGCTCCTCAGATATGACGGTTAATTTACTTCGTTCCTTAAAAATATTTTAACTTGAAAACAATCTGTGTTTTTTGGGTAGGCACGTTAACATTAGCATAAATATTAGTCCTACAAAGTAATAATTTCTCCTTATGACAACTATTAGTTAAAAATATAATTAAAACCTTTGAACTAGGTACTCCACGAATCATCATGAAATAAAGTAAAGGGTATTACTTAGTAACGAAAAAATAGAAATTGCTTTTTCTGCGTCTAAAAGTAAGGCCTTAGTGGAGGGCATTTGACGGAGCGGGGTAGAGCGTTCGGCGTGCACTACAAACGCTATTCTTTTATTATCGTGTACGAAATGCCGAGTGCAAGTGACTACTTGCTTTTTGGGCGGGCGCTAAAAATGTATGCCGAACTCTCTACTTAGAAATTTAGTCTTACTTACATGAAGCCGTTGAGAAAAATAATCAATGCGGTGGGCGTGATCATTATCACTTGAAGGTAGGCACATTGGCAATCAGTATATTTTTGTAAGATGTCTTAATATCACTTCAATACAGATTTCAATTTGTACTTTTTGTGAGAGAGTATTTAATACAGAGGCTTAAAATCCAAAACTTAATTTTCTACGAGTAAAGCCAACACTGCTGTATTTCAATTTTTTTTTTTTTTTTTTTTTGCGCCCGAAGCAATTAAAGGGCTACCCTGTACGTAGGGAGGCGGAAAATGCATTACGCATACCACGATAGCCGGTCTATCGTGGTTATGGGGGACTCACTGTCCTACCGGGGACCCTAAGTGATACCCCCTAAAAACCGCCTTTAGGGACAGGCAACCGGCTGATTAAGCTCTATTGTGCCTTATCATGAGCGACCCTCTTTTGGGAAAAGAGGGCGCAGGCGGCTAAGTGCCGCTGAGGGAGTGCCTACGAAGGCAAATTAATGTCAGATATTACAATAATTTTATTTAATTAGAGTTGGCCTGAGCTGCCAGGAGACAGTTCAGGTCGTTTGAAAGTTTATTAGGCGGGTCCGAGAGAGAGTTTCTCGGCCTGCGGACACGATAGCGAGAGGGGGGGTGGGGCTGCATAAGAGGCTGCCTCACGAATTAAGTGGTTTGGGTGCGACTCTGAGGCTTTGAAGAAGTTCTCAGAGAGTTTTTTAAGAAATTGCTGAATTGTTGGGAGCTCTAAGTCCCGATGAAGGTCGGCATTGCGGACGTACCACGGTGCGTTCGCAGCTCGACGACAGAATAGGTTCTGAACTATTTGGAGTTCATTTAAAATGTTAGGGTTTGCGTGGGCAAAGACGGGGCCCGCGTAGGACATGACTGGTCGTATACATACCTTATAGAGTGTACGCTTGTTTCGAAGGGACATTTTACTGTGTCGGCCCAACATACTGTTGAGCCTACTCAGATAAAAACGTGCGTGACGGGTTACTCTTTTGACGTGGGGCTTGAAAGTGAGCCCTGTGTCTAGAGTGACACCTAAATATTTGGCGGACGTATGCCAGGGGACAGGGGTCCCTAGCATACGTATTGGTGGAGTATGTATTTCAAACACAACTTGCCCTTTTATATAGTAACACAAACTACGCACAAGGTCGAGGCTATCTGCACTGGTGATATTTAGTGCGATGTAAATCAAGATAAAGTACTATTAAGATTTAGGGATGTCAGTAATAATTGGCTTTAAAGATACAAACGTCAGTACAAAAATCAGAAACAAAATACAGGAATTATTGTTCATTGCATTGGGAAGAAAGTATATTAACACATATATAAATACAAATACACATATTTGCATATATAATTCAATAAATGTATATATAAATAACTATCATCATCATCATCATTACAGCCCATCACAAGTCCACTGCTGAACATAGGCCTCTCCAAAGGAATGCCACAAAGCCACCTGCATCCATCGACTTCTTCAACACTTCGTCTACCAGTACAAGGTTGATACTCTAGAACCTTTTTTCCCCATCAGTTGTCGGTTCTTCGAGCTATATGGCCGGCCCACTGCGACTTCAGTTTACGTTGGCCGTTGGGCTATGTTAGTCCCTATGGTTCTACTGTGGATATCTTCATTGCTAAGTTTACCACGCACAGAAATCCCCGCATAACCCTCTCCATAGCTCTAGTGCTGTGATAAATATAGATAACAAGTTGACTCAGTTTTCTAAGCTACGGATATGGTCGTATAATATCTATATGATATCCAGTTCAAATAACATCCAATATATGATTCCAAGACGAAAAGGAGATACAGATGTTAAATAAAAATAATTTTACTGACTATTGTCTTTTTTCTCATGTTTAATAAGCAATAACCGACGATTCTAGTACATTAATAATTATCCCTGGCGACCTCCAGTTTTCATCTAATTGAATTAAACTATATGTGAGGTTTGAGGTTTGAGATATCTTTATTTCTCATAAGAATTTACAACAATTCACTTACATGAGAAAGTTTAAAACACATACAAACAAATAATAGTCTTATCCTAGGTGTACACTAATATATCGAATCAATTTCACTCAAACACATTCAGTTGTAATTATACATATTTAGCAATTTTTATTTCTAGAACAAACAAAATACTAATTAACAGGGTACTTTTAAAAGAAAAACATCCTAATTATTACGTATATGTAGACGTATATATAGTATAGTAAATATAGACGTATCCAAGCAAACAATGCTTGGACGCGCACCTTACACAGACCGAGCGTAGCTAGAAGCGACTCGTAAAATAGTGAAATTAAGGTACGCTTAGGTTAGAAGTTAAATAATATTTTAAGTGCTTTCTAAATGTTGGCATTGATTTTGCTTCTTTGATATTTTTCGGTTATTGGTTATACAATTCCGCACTTTCGTACATTTATGTTTTTTTACCATAATTAGTTCTTGGGGTTAAGAGGCAAAGGTCGTTTGCAGGTGTTAGTCCAATTTTTTGTATTTGCTGTTTCTTTGTGAATGTTATTTGAGTATATCTATCTTTATTTAATATTTTTCTTATTAATATACTAAATAATTTTGTTTGTTTATTAGTAGATTTGTTGGTGTGAGGAAATCATATTTAAATAATATTTTAATTAGTTTATTTAGGGACCTTTGTAGTGGTTCTAGATTTGTTTTCGCAGCGGTGCCCCAAACTTCAGTCAAGTATTCTAAATTCGGTTTTGTGAGAGAGTTATATATATTATATCGAACTCGGTGCGGTAAACATACAACTATACCCAGTATGGCACCAGAAAGAGAAGTTAATTTTGTTTTAATTTTAGAAATATGTGGTTTCCATGTCAAGTGCGAGTCTAATATCAATGGTTATTTATTTTTAATGGCGAGTAGTGTGCTATTTTTTTGTTTTTCTTTTGCTGTAAATATAATATAATTTGTTTTTGATATATTTATAGTAATTAGTAGTAACATATACGGATTTTATAGCGTTTGATTAACTTATTTTAACTTATTTCTAACTCCCGACGTTTCAGGTGCTTTAGAGCACCCATGGTCACGGGAGAACTGAGATGTTTGACGTCCCAATTTCATAGTTAGCCCGGCTACTTTCAGCTTTTGAAAATTAATTTTTGGTCCGATCTACGCAGAACGAGTTTATAGTATCATAAAGTCTTGCAGTGGGTTTGGGTTTAGTTTTGTTAATTATAGGATCCCAAGCAGATGGCAGCACCCATCCATCTTCTCTATTGAAATTAGGATATTTTTTAATTTCAATAGCCGCGCGTATTATTCTTGGTAGGAATAGATGTTCTTTTTCGAGGATTTGTGGTTTATCAAATCTGATGTAGAGGTAGAGTAGAGGACGATCAGGAACATGTTCACAGACTGCAGACTTCCCGGAGCGTCGGTGCTTCACGTCAGCTGTATGTTCTTTCAAGTTCGGGTTTTTATAGATCTTTTTGTTTGATCTATGTAAGAGGTAGTATTCATATGGTAAGTGGATGCTGTGGCCCACAACATTCTACATTTATCCTCGATTAAGAATGAAAACGCAGATGCGTTGTCACCCCTGAGGACTAAGATGTATTGCCTCGTTTCCAGTAAAAAAGGCCTGTGGATCTCTACACTCACCATACGAAACATAGAAGTATTAAGCTGCTACCTGCTAGTTTACGCTGGTATTCTGTGAGAGCGTGGTCCTTCCCTGGACGAGCCGACTAATTCGTGCTACAATCATAATATAGCTGCAGCGTAGCTCTTATTTATTTATTTATTTTATTTAAGCCCTTATTACATAAAATTAAATATATTACAAAATTTCATTTAGATTTACATAACCAATTGCACCCGAAACGTCGGGAGTTAGAAATAAGTTAAAACAAGTTAATCAAACGTGATAAAGTCCGTATATGTTACTACTAATTACTATAAATATATCAAAAACAATGATTCAAAGAAAACTTTAAAAACATTTAGATATAAAAAATTAGCCAGAATTTGGAATAAATTTTATAAATTATGCTCAATAACACGAACAAAGTCATATTATTAAAATCAAATAACCATTACACATTTTTTAAATGATCAAATATAAAATAATAAAAGAGATTACATAACCAAACAATTTAAATCAATTATTAATAATTATAATAAGATACGTAATTGTTATGAATATCAATTTACAGCAGATTGGTCATGATTCCAACTTTTACTTTTTACTAGGTGTTGGCGACGCGCCTATAATAATATTTCAGTTTATTAAGTCAACCGATGACGAATAACGTCTCAAAGGCATGTTGTCCAATAATAATGTTCTGATAAGAAAATGCTTAGTTAAATCTTAAAGAAATATCGAATTAATGATATGAAGGTCTTGGGTTCGACTCCCAGGCCGGACTAGTTTACTGTTTTTCTAAGTAATATCGCTTAATAAATTCATAAGGAATTTAAGATATAAATTATGTTACCGGATTGGTTCCCCGGTTGAAATCATCTTTCCCGATGTAAATATAAAAGAATATTTAAATAAAGTTAAAGATCGGATTTGTTCCCCGGTCGAGATGATCACTCTGTGCATAAATAGAATTAACGGAAATAAATTGCATAAGTATTGTTTTATATGAGTTTGATATGTTTTGTACGAAAACAAATGCCTATTTGCCATGATTGATTTATGAAAACATTCACTTATATTGTTTGATAAGAAACGTGATAACTGATAAGAATCTGATTAGAGATAGTTTCCTACAGTTCGAATATTGTGTAAAAGCATTTAATTTACCTAATATTGTTAAAATTAGTGTATATCAGACTTCCATTTTTTCTGATAGCCGAGAGCCGTGCAAAAGTTAGTTGTTCAAATAGTGTGAGTTCATAGACGCACGCTAAGCCACGCCCTTAGGAGGCCGAATATGTAAAAATTTAAAATGTTTGTAATTTCATCAATTTATGTAACAATGACTTGTAAACCATTTCAGGTTGATTGTACGTGCTAAAAAGGTGAATTCTGTGTTATTTTTAT